GGCTTGTTTTACAACGTCTTTGCCAAGCGACGAAAACCCAACCCCGATGGGAAACACCGGGGGGGGCGTACTGACATGGGACGGAAAAAAAGAAGTTGGATGATATTATTATTGCCTTCACATGAAAAACCGTTCCGGCCTCCGCTCAGTACTTTATAACGTCCGCATTGGTTTAGCTGACGCGGACGCCTTCCGCGGTCATAGAACCACTGTTCGGGTGCGGCAGCTTCGTCAGAGGCCGTGAGGCAAAGAAGATTGACTCAAGACCTTGTTGCTCAACGGAGTGAGAGATATGTGGGCAAGGCAAGACAAGGCCCCGCGCATCATATCCATCATACACACATCGTCCACGTAACCCCCGGAGGCCCCGTAGATCAATGCTCTGCTGAACACCCCAAACAACAACAGCCCGAAGGGGGTACACCTTCCCAGCAATCAAAGACCGGTAATAAAGAGGGACCCAGACAGTATCGTCCAAACGCGACAATAACTGCCGATCACGTTGAGTAACTGGGAAACGAACGAACAAGGCCAAAAATAACAAAAAACAGGAACAAGAAGGCCCCCCCCCCTATCTACTAGGCACAAAGCGCGGAAGATGCATCTCGCACACCGACGAAAGGGGGAACCGGGCAACCTACACCTTGGATTAGAAGGTCTCGCTTTTTCTCAGAGGATTATCTTGAATACAGCACGGGCCCGTAGTCAAGAAAAGTGTTGTTAAGAAACAGAGACAAAAATATGTTTTAAACAAGCGCAGGAGTAGCAGAAAATAGCACATACAAGACCAGTCGGAAGGCTTCGCGATAAACAGAAATCGTTTAATCTCTTCTCGCACAGGGCAGCAGTAGAGGCTTCTCCAAACGAGCATCTCACGCGTCTACCTCCGCACGCCTCCTTTGAAATCAAGATAAAAATTCACCCCAATCTAAATTCAAGTGAAAAAAATCCAAAACGGAAGGCTCTCGAACAAGGTCAGTTTTGACGGTCAGGTGGCGCATTCTGCGGTCATCAGTAGAAGACGCCATGCAGAGGCGTCGTGCGTGCTGGCATGTTCAGGTTTGCAACTGGAGCTGAAATATCAAAGGTCGCAGCAGCCTCTGAAAATGGTCGGAAATCTGCGCCGGAACCAAGCGGCATCCAACATTTGTCACAGCCGTGCTCGCCGCCACTGACCCCAATCTCCTGAAAACGCCGGTAAACAACAGGAGCTGATGCCACCAGCTACTGCTGACAACCCTCCGTTCAGAGGTTTATGGCCCGTGGCGGTGAACACAGCTGTGACAAATGTTGGATGCTGCTTGGGTCCGGCACAGATTTCGGACTGTTTTCAGAGGCTGCTGCGACCGTCGACAATTCAGCTCCAGTATTGTAGCAAACCTGAACGTGCCAGCACGCACGACGCCTCTTCATGGTGTCCTGTACTGATGACAGTAAACAGAACACACCAAATAACAGGAAGATTGTATTCCCTCTTTGTATAGGATTAAAGTCCAGGAAAGAGCCAGCGTCAACACCCTTGTCCGCAAACCCATAATTGTCACAAAAATAAATAAGAAAATAGGGCTGAGATACGCAACCCAGCGGTGAATCCTAGAGCAAATACCCTACGGATAACAATGTGCTCGACGGCCGGGCCATGAAGCTGAGCCTCGACCCGAATTGACGGTCCTTATTTCCGGCCCTGTTCTCTACCTCCTTTGCGTGCCACGCTCCCGCAAGCGCGGCTGTCTGTCTGTAAAAATCCCCATCAAATGCCTCCTTGAACGCCGCTTGGCGAGGGGCCGTTTGATGGGACTTGTTTGACAGAGATGGCCCACGTGAGGACGTACAGCAGTAGGAACTGCCCGCACATCAACTGCCTGCAAAACTCATTCGTTCGTTTCCAGAAATTTCGCAGGAACACCAAAATTTCCTTGGGTCAACCAAAGGGGTTGTTGTGTTGTTGGCGATCGACCAGCACCAGCAGGGATGTGAGAGACTGGTGCGGCACAAGGATTGGACCACAAGTTATTAAGTTAGCTAAGACTAGAGAGACAAAGAACAACGATAGAGGCCAACCAACATCCATGATGAAGGGGTATGTATCGCGTAGCTGCTGTCTCTATCTTCCGAAATAACCCATCAGTTCACTCCATGCATTCCTGTAGACCAAGGGTCGGCTCCCCAAACTCACATAACTGCTGTGTATCAAGCTGCCTCCCGGAACAACGCGCCCTCTCTTTCTCAAGTTGTTTCCCGGAAACGTAAGCCCTGTCGTTGTCAAGCTCGTTCCCGGAATAATCGGCATCGGCCGGAGCAGCCTGTTGTGGCGATGGGGCTGTAGGAATGGGGCTACAGATAGCAACTGGCACAGGCTGGCCCAGCACATCACATGCGGGGTAACCTGGATCGTAGACCGTATGCATACGTAGAGGTGGCTCAGGGCCCATAGGTAGGGCTAGGCGGGGAAGTATTATATAAATGTTCGCGCGGAGCGCGAAAAAACTTGAAGAGGCGTTTACCCGGTCGGGCTGTTTTTTGGCTGTTTTTTTCCACTCCCCCCGATCCACTGTTAGACCCTGGGGTTACCCCACTGCGGAGCAATAAAAAACGGCATGCTTGACTTGTTGTTGTTGACTTCACATTAAACCGTATGCCAGTTGCTAAATGCCAAAATCTAGCAAAGACTCTCGGCCCGTGGTCACGAAAGTGCTGGAGCCATCTGAGGATCTAAAGAACACGCACACGTAGCAAGAAAAAGGTGTACAAGAGCCCGAAGAGGTACTACTACACCTATATATAATCCCTGCAGCACCGTACGCGTGCCCAAAACTGAACTACACGTCCGTCTCACCGTTCGACTACA